TTTTTTTCCTCCTTCAGTTCATAAGTGATTATTCAAGAACTCTTTTTGATGTATGCATACAAGAATTGAGGTGTAGGCCAGAGATGGGGGTTAAGAGGATCCACCAGAGACAGAGCGTGGAGCAGAATAGGCAGATCTACTGATGTACACTGCGAAGGGGAGCAATAGGCAAGATAGGAGAGGTCTGCTGCACCATGTGTGTTAGCTCCATCGCTGGGGATCGAACTCATACTACAGTGGCTGGCGACAGTTTAATAGCACTGAGACTTAACCACTGGCCACCAAGGAGGCTGTATTCAAGAACATTTTTTAAGACTAAAGCATATTCCAGTTTATGAAGACACTAAAATTTATAAATCATATGCAATCTTGGGCATTTGGCATGTTTCAAAATTGTAGCCCATTATAAAGTGAAAGGATACTCTAGGACATACAACACAATTCACTTTTCTTATTATTTCCTAAGGATATATTCCTCAAAAAAAATGTTAGTGGGTCAAAAGATACGTACATCATATTTCATAGTTTCCTCTTGCTGCCTCAGCAGATTGCCAGGAATTTACGCAGACTCAGCAAAGGACCCTACTTGTGGCCTCACAAGCCTCAAATCAGAGTGTTTGTAACCAGGACTCCTATTTAGAGGCTTTTTTCACTTGGCAGGATTCATTTCCTTCTCACTGCTCACACGTGGCCCTCTCTAGCTTCAAGACAACAATGGCAGTTTGAGTCCCGGTCACTCTTGGGGTCTTTATGATTTCAAGTGTGAAAAGCTGTTTGATTTCAGGGATTCTGTGACTAGATTATTCAGGAACTTTCCGTATGACATGCTCAATTACGTCAGTCCCACTTGCCATGTAAAGTGATGCGTTTTCAGGTGCCAGGGATGAGGTGTGAACTCTGGGGACCATTTGACATACTACAAACATTTTAAAGGATTTGTAAAAAAGATTGATTTTTAAATAAATTAACCTGGGTGTAGGCCAGAGATGCAGGGAGTGGGAGGAGTGAGAGGATTCATCCAAAACAGTGGGAAGCAGAACAGGTGGACTGACTAAAATCTACTGCTGAGGGGAGCAGCAGGCGAGGCAGGAGAGGTCTGCTGTGTCATATGGGTCAGCTCCCTGGCCAGGGATGGAACTTGTGCTGCTGTGGCTGAGGAAAGCTTCATAGTGCTGAGACCCAACCCTGTGCATTACCAGCATGGAATTTTTTTACCAATATATTTACCAATCTGCTAGACAAAGCAACTGCATTTACTTGTGCTTTTACTTACATGCCTTTATTCATGAGCTCAAACTACTATAAACACTCACCTGTGATTCTTTTTTTCTTCTGTGACTTTATGTCCAGTGGCCACCTGCTTTGAAATTCAGTTCTTAGTATTCCTATTGATTATTATTGTCTCTGTGTATGAAGGATACTTGGTCTATATTTTTTAGTAGCTTGTTTTTTCAAAGTTTATTATTGAACACAGAGGATTATACTTCTCTGTCATAGTGGTATGTGCTCATTGTTGATTTCTTCCATTATGCTTTATTTTCACGTTCTTAAAATGTCTACTGCTTATGTTTTGGTTTCCATAACAAGCCATTTCATTTTGGTGTGTTTTTAGAAGAAAGACTCTGTCTGGGGCCTGTCTAGTTTGTGCTCATTCTCCTAACCAAGAGTAGAAAGAAGTTATTTTTATTTTAAAGTATGTATAAAACATGAAGTAGATTAGCATGGGTGAAATAAAGCTAATTACAAGACAAAAAAAAATGAGAAAAGGCAGAAGATTCAGACTCTATGGAAAGCAATATAGATGTTTCTCAAAATATTTAAAATAGATCTACCACATGAGCCAGCAATTCCAATCCTACACTTCTACCTGAAGATGACACAGAGCACCAGTCTGAACAGACATACGATGCTCACTATCAAAGTATATACAGTAGCCACAATACAGGAACAACCTAAGTGCCCAATGGCAATGATTGGAAAATAAAGTAAAAACACAATAAAATACTATTTAGCTGTTAAAAGAAAAGATGAAATCTTGCCATTTGCATCAACATGGATGGAACTGGAGGGGGCTCTGCTAAGTGAAATTAATCAGAAGGAGAAAGACAAATAGTAGATAATCTCATATAAGGAACAGAAAGAAACAGCAAAAGAACATGGCTGGGAGCAAAGGGTGGATGGGGTCCAGTGGGCTGTGGTGGAAGGTAATTGGTACCTTGGTGCTGAACACAGTATGGTGACACATACCGAAGAGGAGTGACTCTGTACCACTAAAGCACATACAGCATAATAAACCAGTAGTATCTCATAAAACAAACTGAAAAAGAAATTAAAAAGAAGGAAAAACCGTTCTTGTATATTTGAAAGTTTACACATTAATTATAACACCACTTCAATTCATCTATCTTAATAAGGCATATATTGCAAAGTTTCAAGCTATTAAAATATGACCCCGTAGGGCCCTCCCTGGTGGTGCAGCATGTTAAAGCACAGTACATTAAGAAGCTAAAGCCACTGCCGCATGAGTTCAATCTCCGCCTGCCCGGAGGTGATCCATAGGGAATTCTCTCACTGCCCCTCCACTTCTGGCCTGTACCCCAGTTCTGTATGCACAAATAATCTTTAAAAAAAAATCTGACCCCAGAAAGATGTAAGGCAGATAAATAGAAATAGAATTAAGACAACTTTAGGAAAATGAGCAGGCATGTCACAGAGAGAAATAATGTATTTGCTATTTGATAACAGACATGTATATAGAATACATAAAACATTCTAATAAATCCATAATAAAAATCCAAACAGCCTAGTTTTAAAAAAATGGGCAAAAGGTTTGAACAGGTGAGTAACAAATAGAGGCATATGAATGAACAGTAAATGCACAAAAAGTTCCTAACACAGTCATCAGGGAAAAGGAAAAGAAAATCATATTGAGGATCTCCCTGGTGGCAGAGGGGTTAAGACACAGTACTATGAAGCAATACTCAGACAGTGCAGAGAAAATTTGATACCCAGCCAGGGAGCTACCCACATGGAGCAACAGATTTCTTCTGTCTCAACCGCTACTTCCCTCAGCAGCATCTTTTGGTAGATCTGCCCATTCTGTTCCCCACTCTGTC